AGGTGCGCAAAATAGCGCGAATGATAAACTGCACAAAACAGTGCGATGCGGTTTTGCGCATCGCGCTGTTTTGCACAAAACAGTGCATTTCAAATGCACCAACAAATCCGAATGAAACAGCTGTTGCTATCTCAACTTCAGGCTTGCTTTCAGCATAAATGCCAGAGAATTTGATTGGGCTGACAGTACATCTCGCCTGCTCTCCTGCGCGCCAAACTCATTGCATTAACCTAAGTTTTTCAAAAGACAAACCTTTTGAACACTGCGGTGATAAAAACGAAGAGGAAAGAATTCCTTGGGTTTTGCAAAATTTTGATCATTTTGAGAGAAAGAAAGGCGTGCTAAGCCTTTTTATGAATGAAACCATGCTTGTCGGCGTGAGTACTGAGAAGGATCCTGGCCTGATCCAGATTGGTTCCACACTATCTTCGGCGCGAGTGATTTGTCGCTTTCTTAAAAATTTTCAAAAACAAATGTTTTACGCGGCCCTGTGAAGACCTGTGTGGAATCGCTCTTGAGATTATTCAGCCTAGGATCGCTCTCAGCCTCAAGATTCAACTCGCCCGCTTCGAACCTTGGACCCGTTCAGAACATCTAAACGGGCGATTGTCAGGGAAGGCCCGTGTGGCCAGTTTTGAAGCAGCCTTCAACCAAGAAGCGCCGAAGCCGAATCAGAAGGAGTAGATCTCGCCGGAAGAAGCTCGTGGAGCAGCCATGATGAATTCTCCACAAATCATTGCAACAGCCGTTCTCCTAGACACAGAGAGGCTTCAACTTCAAAAACCATTTGGCATGGACTTGCTACACTTTTACTCTTTGAGAGGCTCGCTGGGCCGAAAACCCGGAAGGGCGGCCCAGGCAAAAGTTAGAGCAAGAGAAAAATACAAATAGCAAAAAAATACAACAATGAAAAGAAAAGAAAAAAAAAAGAAAGAAGCAAAAAAAAAGAAGAAAAAGAAATGAACAAAAGAAAAAAGAGAAATAAAAAGAAGCTCGCAAGGTCGAAAACCCGCATTGGGCGCCTTGGCAAAAGTGAGAGCCAAAAAAAAAAAACAAACAAACAAACCAACATACCTCACGGCCAACAAAAGGTGAAGTATTGATAGAAAAAGCCATTTTCACTGTAGGTTCTTCCACCTTAATGGCAGGTAGTGGCTTCTCAGAAATTTTGTCAGCAATTGTCTCACCAATCTAAGAAAAATAAATCAGTTACCACAATTTCAACAAAGAAAATGATTGATACAAATATTCATCTTACAAGTACTGTTAGAGAGAAAAAAATTTGATCAATGCAAAACAAGTTTTTTTCTACCTGAATATCATCAATACCACAAACAGCACAGATATCACCAGCCTCCACAGCCTGTGCAGCAACCCTACTAAATTTCTCATACACAAAAAGTTCACTAACTCTTACATATCTGCATGTCTCATCCGTTCTTCAAAGATTCAAATTATTAAAATTATGAGTGAAGTTCTTTTTGTGTTCTTTTTTTACAGAAAATCTTCAGATTATAGAATGAAACTCATCTGAGCATGAAATTTCTTATCACAATCTCCAAAGAGTAGCTTACCTTGCCATCATTTCTTCATCATTTCACAAGTCACAAATTCAAGAATAGCACAAACAACTTAAACATCATAAGAGTCTTGGAAGAGACACACACTACGTATGCATGTGTGTGTATGTGTGTACTATGTATATTTGTAATGCAAAATCATACGTTGATATAACATGCATGAGAATCCGTGCAAAATAGTTTCATAGAGCATATCAGGTCAGGCAAGAGAAACATATGATATCATCCATTTTGGTTTCATAATATGAAACTATGACCTAATATCGAATAGGGAGATGGGTAAGACAAGAACTAGACCTCCTGTTGCAACAAAGATAATTACTCATCATCAACTTACACTTACTGCACCAAAAATTGGAAGTGCTCACTCATCACACCACTATGAAATACACCCCATTTATGTAACGTTAGTCCTGAATAGGACGAATTCCTAATTAGTATTTAACACATGTTTTCCATTTCTTTTTTTATTTAAATAAACATAAATTTTATATAGGATCTTTTCAATTGTTTGAGCCTTTGTATATCATTAATAAGGTCTCTCACTTATAGACCATTACTCCACCTAGCACAGCCACCTTGCACAACCCGGCCACATAACATGGCAAAAGTCCAGATAGGAACTTCAAGTGAAAGCCAAACAAGATAACAAGAGTGCGATTTCTTTAAGAGACATCATTTCAAGAAATTCAAATTAATGGAGAACAGTAATCTCATATAACAGTGATGATGATCAATGATTGTCATATTAAAGTAATCAGAATACACAACACAGTCAGCCCTTAATATGATAATTCTAAAAATTGAACAAATGCCATAAGGAACAGATGCTAGCTCCAAAGCATACTCACCTGCACATCCAATCCTCTTCGCAAAACACCAGCATGCAAGCGCCCAATGGCTATCCGTCCTTTATGTTCCTCGTACTCAATATTTGTCACCCAGAAGTCTGTCCAGCAGCAATCAACTATAGCATAATAATATGATATTGAAATTTGACAAGATAATACAAAAGAAAACTTCCTTCACTTAAGTTTGAAAATAGGCGATCGGGGGCCAAAAAAATCTGTAACAGTCCCGAGAAGGCCCGTGGAACACCTCCAACACCTCGGGAGAAACCAATGTAAGTTGTGAAAATTTACGGAACTAGCGCGGGACTTCCGGTTTGAAAACTAAGTCGGAAAAGATACTCTTTTCACACTTAAGCTGGAGAATAGGCCTCGGTGGGCCGAAATCGTGTACCAATCACAAGAATGCCCGGGAAACACCTCGAACACCTCAGGAGGGACCAATTTGAGTTGTGAAAACTTAATGAACAGGCACGGGACTCCCGATTTGAATACTAGGTCGGAAAATACACTTTCTAACACTTAAGTTTGGAAGAAGGCCATCGGGCGGGCAAAATCATGTAACAGTCGCAAGAATGGCCGGGAACACCTCAAACACCATAGGAATGACCAACGCGAGTTGTGAAAACTTACGGAACTAGCACGGGACTCTCGATTTGAGAACTAAATAAAAAAATGAACTTTTTTCATACTTAAGCTGGAAAATAAGCCGTCGGGGGCCAAAATCGTGTAATAGTCACGAAAAGGCCCGGGGAACATCTCAAACACCCCGGAGGGGACCAATGTAAGTTGTGAAAACTTACGGAACTAGCAGGGGACTCCCGGTTTGAAAACGAAGTCCGAAACGGCACTTTTCTCGCACCTAAGCTTGAAAATAGTTCCTCGAGGGGCCAAAGTCGTGTGACAGTCAAAAGAAGGTTCGGGAAACACCTCAAACACCTAGGGAGGGACCAACGTGAGCTGTGGAAACTTATGGAGCTCGCATTGGACTCCCGGTTTGAAAACTAAGTCAAAAAATGTACATCCTAAACACTTAAGTTTGAAAATAGGCCATCGAGGGACCCCAAAATCCTGTAACAGTCCCGAGAAGGCCCGTGAAACACCTCCAACACCTCGGGAGAAACCAATGTAAGTTGTGGAAACTTACGGAACTAGCGAGAGACTTCCGGTTTGAAAACAAGGTCGGAAAAGGTACTCTTTTCACACTTAAGCTTGAGAATGGGCCTCGGCGGGCCGAAATCGTGTAACAATCACGAGAAGGCCCGGGGAACACCTCGAACACCTTCGGAGGGACCAATTTGAGTTGTGAAAACTTAACGAACAGGCACGGGACTCCCGATTTGAATAATAGGTCAGAAAATGCACTTTTCTAACACTTAAGCATGGAAGTAGGCCATCGGGGGGCCAAAATCAAGTAACAGTCGCAAGAAGGGCCGGGAACACCTCAAACACCACGGGAGTGACCAACGCGAGTTGTGAAAATTTACCGAACTAGCACTATCGGGGGCCTAAAATCATGTAACAGTCGTAACAAGGGCCGGGAGCACCTCAAACACCTCGGGAGTGACAGACGCGAGTTGTGAAAGCTTACGGAACTAGCACGGGGACTCCCAGTTTGAAAACTAAGTTAGAAAGAGACAGTTTTTCCAGGCTTAGGCTTGGAAATAGGACACCGGGGGGAGGCCAAAAACGTGTCACAGTCGCGAGAAGGACCGAGAAATGCCCAAAACACCTCGGGAGGGTCCAAAAGATAAGCTGCGGAGACTTACGGAACTACCACGGGACTCTCGGCTTGATAACTAAATCAAAAAATGCACTTTTTTCACACTTAAGCTCGAAAATCAGCCGTCGGGGGCCAAAATCGTGTAACAGTCACGAGAAGGCCCGGGGAACACGTCACACACCCCGGGAGGGACCGATGTAAGTTGTGAAAACTTACGGAACTAGCACGGGACTCCCGGTTTGGAAACTAAGTCCGAAACGGCACTTTTCTCGCACCTAAGCTTGAAAATAGTGCATCGGGTGGGCCAAAATCGGGTGACAGCCAAGAGAAGGTCCGGGGAAGACCTCAAAACACCTAGGGAGGGACAAACGTGGGTTGTGAAAACTAACGAAACTCGCACCGGACACCCGGTTTGGAAACTAAGTCAAAAAATGCACTTCCTAAACACTTAAGTTTGAAAATAGGCCATCGGGGGCCAAAAAAATCCTGTAACAGTCCTGAGAAGGCCCGTGAAACACCTCCAACGCCTCGAGAGAAACCAATATAAGTTATGGAAACTAACGCGGGACTTCCGGTGTGAAAACTAGGTCGGAAAAGGTACTTTTTTCACACCGAAGCTTGAAAACAGGCCTCGGCGGGCCGGAATCGTGTAAGAATCACGAGAAGGCCCGGGGAACACCCCGAACATCTAGGAGGGACCAATGTAAGCCGTGCAAACATAACGAACAGGCACGGGGACTCCCGATTTGAAAACTAGGTCGGAAAACACACTTTTCGAACACTTAAGCTTGGAAGTAGGACGCAGGGGGTGCCAAAACCGTGTCACAGTCGCGAGAAGGACCGAGAAATGCCCCAAACACCTCCGGAGGGTCCAAGAGGTAAGTTGCGGAGACTTACGGAACTAGCACGGGACACTCGGCTTGAGAACTAAATCAAAAAATGCACTTTTTTCACACTTAAGCTCGAAAATAAGCCGTCGGGGGCCAAAATCGTGTAACAGTCACGAGAAGGCCCAGGGAACACGTCAAACACCCCGGGAGGGACCGATATAAGTTGTGAAAACTTACGGAACTAGCACGGGACTTCCGGTTTGGAAACTAAGTCCGAAACGGCACTTTTCTCGCATCTAAGCTTGAAAATAGTCCATCGGGGGGGCAAAATCGGGTGACAGCCAAGAGAAGGTCTGGGGAACACCTCAAAACACCTAGGGAGGGACCAACGTGAGCTGTGAAACTTACGGAACTCGCATGGGGCTCACGATTTGGAAATTATGTCAAAAAATGCACTTCCTAAACACTTAAAGTTTGAAAATAGGTAATCGGGGCCCAAAAAAATCCAACAGCAGTCCCGAGAAGGCCCGTGGATCACCTCCAACACATCGAGAGAAAACAACGTAGGTTGTGGAAACTAGCGCGGGACTTCTGGTTTGAAAACTAGGTCGGAAAAGGTACTCTTCTAACACTTAAGCTTGGAAGCAGGCCATCGGGGGCCTAAAATCATGCAACAGTCGCAACAAGGGCCGGGAACACCTCAAACACCTCGGGAGTGACAGACGCGAGTC